TATGAATAAATAATATAACATATAATATGTTATATATAAGCAAGTCAAAATAGTGCACAACCTCGATACGACTAGTGTCCATGAGATTCCAAAGTCAATTAAACAGAGCTGTCATAATATGATCATAATAGATACCTCTATACCGTGCATGCTGGTAGTGTTGTTACTACTATTATATCTCAAAGAAGCTATCAATCAATCAATGCCTCGTCTTTAATCGGAGCTGATGACATTCATTTCAACTCCCGACCCTATTAGCACCCTACTTGAAGGTAACTCCCTTGCGTAAGGAACCTCGGATCGGTGAAGCCGTCGTAGAATGGAAAATCTATCTTCTCGAAATATTATTTCGAGAACCCTGACGATGGATCTTAGCTTCTTTCGTCATCCAACAATATTGGAGAGCAAGTCAAAATAGTACACGTCCTCGATACGGCTAGTGTCTACAAGTCTCCACAGTCAATCGAAGGGAGCTGTTACCTTTCGAGAACCCTGATCATGGATCTGAGCTCCATTCGTCACTCACGACATTGGAAAGCAAGTCAAAATATCAGCGATATCTGTCGCAGATCTGTTCATCGAACAGATTCCACAGAGCACTAACTCTACACTCTATACTATAAATGAGTTCAACATGATCACCGCCCAGGAAATTCTCTGCACGCAGGCGGTTCATTATCTTGTCATTGACGGTCAATGATTGATCTGCTCTCCCAGACACTCCAACATACGCACTATATGAACACGAGCAATATCAAGAGACGCTTCATTCAACTGCTCAATTATTGAGCAGCAGGTGAATCATGATTATTATAATCATGATTCACCGTGGAGCCACCATGGATTCCCCCCCCCCCTCCCCCCTGTTCCCGATGGAGCGGAAAAAGGAGGGATCCAACAAGGAGCTCAGCTCCTGGAGCTGCTACAAATTGTTTGAAGCCGAGACGATCCCCTACACAAGAAGTGTAAAGTTCACAGTGTGAACCTAGCAACTCAACAGTATGCAGTGCATGCTATGGACACTGTCCATTGGACAGATATGTACCACCAACATCACAGAGAGTAATAGTCAATGATACGGAAGATATGATCTTCTTATTTTCAAATAGTGTTAGACGGACTTGCTTAGCGCTGGGCTACGGAAGTCCTCGCACGGTAGATATCCTCAGGTGCCGGTTGAAGTCCGAAAGGTCGGAAGAGTATGTGTCAAGGACTGTATTCGAAAGACAGCCCCTCGCTATCCTATGATGTAGGACCTACAGCGAATATATATGAGGGAGTTCTTCAGAGGAACATCATTGACGGATTCCCTTGATCCTTCGGTTATGCCGTGTAATCTTGAGCCGATGTTGATACAAATTGAATAATGGTAGTATCGTGTTGAGTAGAATGCAGAGTTATCCCATCTATCTTACCTTATTCACAAAATCACTACGATTCGTAGTAAAACACTACACCCTATATTCGTAGTCTACGAATATAGGGTGTAGTGTTGGCAACACTATCATGCCGTCGGCAACTTGCCGACGAGTCTCGCGCTAGGCGTTTCCTTGGACGCTGGGTGATATTCTCAAAAACTAAACACGTAGGGGATTTCGGACAATAACTTCTTGTTAGGAGGGTGGAAACCGGAGGCTTCTCAGAGAAGTCATAAGACATGGTTTCGCGGACTCCATCAGTCATGAAAAGTTGAAAGAATTCGTAAGGGGAGAAGTCATAATACGAATCGAGCAAATTATTCCGGAATATTCACTCGATACACTGTGTATCATACACATCCAAGAGACTCGCAGAAAGAAAAGAAAACCAGAACGCTCTTAGAGCTCACGAACCGCCTGTAGCTCCGAGCTTTTTTCTGGTGTGGCTCTTGGGGAATCTGGTCCGAAAATACCGTGGATGAAATCGTTGATCATGAGCAGGGCAGCCTCGGGTTGGTCGGTGGGCACAAAATGGCCAGCTCGATACACCTACAAAAGTTGGTAACTTGATGTTATACAGAATATTCAGCATCTTACTTGGAAGAAGCTGAACATCCCACTCTCCTGATAGGCTGCACTGCGGAATTTACCAATCGATATTCCGCTATCATCCTGAGGGGAAATGCCGCCATCAACCGAGGTCCGGGGAGTCGAACGAATCGGAGTGCATACCGGAACGTTGGTTCGGCAATGAACTCACCTCATACTCATAGCGGGGAGCGTTGATGAAAGATTGACGGCCCGGCCACTCCATCGCATCCGCCACGTGCTCGTAGCCAATCCAGTTACAGATGAAATCTTGATCTCCGTCATACAGAAGAACCTCAAAGAGTCATGTAGAGCTTATTGAGCTCAGCTCAAACGATGCACTTGTCACAAATAAATCATATTAGCGTACCGGCAGCATAATGAAATGATAGTTCCAAAAGACGGCGACGGTTTTCCTAGAGGCAACAAATTGAAGGCACCAATGGGACCAACTTCACTCATGCCGACGGAATTGGCGGTCTCCGGAACGAACTAGTTATCCGACAGAAGTATTTCGGAGAGCCTCAAGTTCAGGCCCTAAACTATCCATACAGTAAAGCCAACAGTGACTGTTGAACAGTCACTCACGCACCACAAGACGACATGTTAGATGCTACTAGTAGTAACCTACTACAGTCTTTGTATATCGCACTTCCAATTTGAATAATTCAAGTCAAACACTCGGCAAGCACTCGAATCGTGACATTGCGTGGGACTCACTCCGACTCCGGCATCAAGTACTTCGGGTAAAAGTGTCTCGAATGGCATGAGCGTATCAATATCGAAGTCCCCCGCCTAACTCAATCACTGAACGTGAGGTGCCACACACATGACGCTCACATAAGAGCAAGTCTCGAATCCCTTGTTTACTCCAAGTCTCTTCTGCACATCCCTCCTGTTCAGATACTTTACGAACTGAGTCAAATTTTTCAAGGGGCTGAGTTACAACTGATGCCATCGCATTCATCGATGCTAACGTAGCAAGGATCCATGTCTGGTAATAACTCACGCTGAAGTCTAGTCCATCTGAGTTACCATCCGTGTGAGTAATCCTCATGTCGTATCTGAAATATGGCCGATCACCCGGTCTCGTGAACAACGGCATACACGTCGATGCCTCGTCTGTTCAAGGGGGCAAATACAGCGCCATCGATACAAGTTTTAGCATACCCACAGGACGCGCCTGACATGAGAGATCCCTCTCTCCGGAGAACCCTTTCCTACGGGAGCCTGACTGACACTCTCTTATGCCACTCGAGCATTGCCGTGCTGCTCCAGTCTGCGCCACGTATCTGATTAATGATCCGTTCAAACTGCCGTTTGTAATCGTACTCTTTGTAGGTGGCGATATGGGGAGCAGTGCAGCTTTCGAAGGCCATCTGGGGGTAATCGAGAACTCTACAGGGAGCAATGCGATACATGATATCTTCACGATAGGGGCGCCGCCTACTGGACTGCAGCATTCATCCATCCATTCCCGATGGCTAGTCCACGAAGGTTAATATTAGGTTCGGTCCCTCGAGTATTTTCTCGCCATATTTTATGAGCTATGGCGGGTATGTAATGACCTGAATGTTCGATTGACGTCCCGGCACACCGCCTCACAATAGAGTTACCAGCATACGACTCCCCGGTAATGTAGAAGTCCTTATCTCTATATTGCTTATGTTTAGCAAAGAATTCCTGTAGGGCCATGTACCTTTCAACTTGAAAGATCCTAGCTGAATCATGTATATATCAGTTGGATGTTCCAACTGATATATACACGATTCATACAGTAGACATCTTCGACCTACAAGTCGTCAGCTGCCTCGAAGGAGCCATTAGTCACGAGTGGTCCATCAGCGAATCCTACTCCTGCAGGCTGGTCAACGAAGAGGAGATTGGCTCGCGTATTCCAAGAATACCTCATGCCGAACGTCCAGTACGTCATCACTGATGAAGGATTATTCTCACGGGTTGAGCTCGGTATCCGTTCCATCATCATTAGCCTTGCATGGTCCATTCTCGTGGAAGAGTCCTGTCATGCTGCTGCAGCCAGGGCCACCATTAAGCCATAGGACGAGCGGGTCCTGGGCTGGATCAGAACGAGACTCGAAGAACCAGAAGAATAGTCTGATCACACCTCACATACACGCCAAGACGGATCGGCAAATGTTCACCTTCTTCCATGGCTACCATTAAAATAACCGTATATTTGCTTAACACTCGGGTCGCAGAGGGAGTCGCCACGAGCTAGGAAACCTGTGCTGCTGAGTCCACTCTGGTGTTGCTGCGCTTGGAGTGGCTCGGCCTTCTCAAATGGAGCTGAGGAGAGTGACGGGACAAAATGTCGTGGATGATCCGCCATGGATTGATGCCACGAGGCGAGCTCAGTACTGAAGATAGTTAGCAAATACCTTTTGGTGGGTTGTAGACCATCCAACCGCGCGCCCAATGGATCAGCAGGAATGCGACGAAGCAGATGAGAGACATCGATGATTTAGAAAAAGTTCACCTTATGTCAACACTATTGATCGTCTTGCAGGGGGGGGGCAAGCCAGTGGACAGAGGCTTCCAGACGAAGCCTCTTTCTTAGATCAGTGTGAAATGGGCGGCCGATCCCACCCGATAACTGGTTTTGGTACGTTATTGAATAACGTCATGTTTCCTCTAAAGCTGGTACTTGTTGTAATGATATTCTGTATATGCGTGCAGGACCTCACGTTGTTCCTGCGGGACTATCACCACCATGTCGTCCCATCACGTGTTCCAGTACTTACTGTAGGGACCTCACATCAAGCTCTATTTTAATTAACGACTCTTTGAGAGTCTCCTTATCTATGCACCTCCCCCCTATTCTCATTCGAAGTCACCTTTACGTTGGCAAAGCGACCCCCAATCAACAGCTAGTACACTGCAAGGCCGTATGAGGACAGAAATACCCTTCAAGATGGAATAGCGATGTGAGTGAACTTCATTGAAGTACAATGAATGTATGAACATGTTGTCGAGTTGTGTTGGATTGTGGTCCTCGACAGCTTTGGCGGTCATGTCAAAAGTAGAGTTGTGTAACACAACTTGTGTTGGTTGGAAAAAACAGTTCATTCAAAAGCCGAGCTTACGGCTGTCACCCGTCACGTGAGGTGGTGATGTGACGTGGTGGTCGTCAGTAGTTACGGAAGCGTCTCTTGGGGCATCCGCAACCCTTGCGGAAGTTGAATCGTTGACCCGCTCGACAGTGACTAACCTTATAAGTAGTCAATCTAGTCTAGCAGAGTAAGTTGGTGAATAGTTACACGAGTGTCTCATGTTCGAGTTTTTGTCGGTATATTTCGGAATTCAGGTATAGTCGAGGAAGTCGAGGTATATAGTAGTACTATGCCACCAACAACGTACTACGTTGTTGGTGGCCT